TCTGTGTAGCATTTCCTATACATCATAATTCTACTCATCTCCACCTTTAGGACATGCAAATTTAAGTTTATTGTACTGATTATATTCAATAATGTTGTTTTTCTCTATAACTCGTCCCAAAATTGTGGGGAAAAGTTTGTTTTTCATGTGAACACTGTTATCTCAGAACACTTGTGTGGTTAGCTTTATCTGCCATTCTTAGAGGTAAACTAAAGGTCTTAAATATTTCCAATGGTGAAAAACAGCCTAAGTTCTGGATGAGAAGCTGAAATGTATGCTTCACCTTTCTCGTTTTCCACTGGGAACTGCAACAATTTAGTAAAGATGCGAAGTAAATGAAGTTGAACATGACATACTGTCTCTTAGATCATGCAAGGAAAATTATAGAACAAAATAGAATGTTCTCCTTTCTATCCTGGCTATAGGACCATCCATTGATCCAGTTTATTAGTTTCCTACATGTATTGCGTAGCAGAAATGAGAATACTGTTTCTAAGAATGAGCCATCTTTAAAACCATTAATAATGACAGGTTATATTTAAGGAAATTTTTCATTTTCCTTAAAAAGATAACAAGTGAAAGAGGCTTAGTTTGTTAAATGATGCATCTTCTAAAACATTCATCTTCAAAAAGAAGAGATTGTCTCCCCTTTAGAAAACAGAAGTACAGAGAAGGTAGATATCTTACTATTCAACAAAAGGCTAGATAATATCCTCTCAGATTCTCTGTATGTTTCCCTTTGTCTAAGATAATTTCTTTGCCATAGCCCTAGTCCTTATTTATTACTTGTATTTAAGGTACTTTATTTATTTGACTTACACTCTGTATAGGAGCATAGCTCTTTAGGAGTACTAATGTGAACCATTCATTAAGCTCCTATTTGCATATGGTGATCTAACTTTGTGAATGTTTACCGTTTGTATATTTCCTTCTTCTTTTAGCTTCAAAGGAATATTTTGGCATCTAATCCCAGGGTCACAAGATTCCACATTAATTGGGAAGATAACACAGAAAAACTGGAAGATGCAGAGAGCAGTAATCCAAATCTACAGTCACTTCTTTCAACAGATGCATTACCTTCAGCGTCAAAGGGGTGGTCCACATCAGAAAACTCACTAAACGTTATGTTAGAATCCCACATGGACTGCATGTGACCACCTGCCATCCCTTTAGTACAAATTAAGCTATTAAAAACACAGAACTATTACCCTGAAATTCCGTAAGTACAGTCAAGACACAATGTGAAGAATTTGTTTAAAAACATCCTGTAGAAAGTTTATAAAAAAAACCAGTATTTGAACAAATTGTGGAATATAAATACAACTATTTTTAAGTAATTTTTTTCTCTAATGTGTTATTTTATTTGTCCTAAAATTAATCTGATTAAAGCATATATATTATTTTCCTCTCTTTTACATGTAATTAAAGCACTTACAAAGAAAAATATCAATCATTGGATCAGGTTGTCAAAATGCGTTAGCCTCTTGGACAGTAATCTTTGGATCACTATTTTACCAGCCTTTGAAAGAACAAAGTTCACTTCAACTAAAATGTTTCTTCCTGTGAAGACATTTAAGGGGCAAATTTGTATTATTTTTTTTTTTTTTGGCATGTCCTTTAAAAGGGGATCTGAAATTAACTATATTCTACCAAGAACATTAGAATTTGATTTTCCAGGTCACTCTAAAGCCTCTTATGGCTACTATTAGTTTACATAATGTTGGACAACATTGACTTGTTTTCTAAGATAATAACAGATGTGGCTAATTCTTTATAAGGCACCCTGGCTATGTTTTCTGTTGTTGTTGTTTTTATAACAGAGTTTAGTGTATAAGAGCACTTCTTGACTCATACGTTGTTATTACCCAGTGGATTCAAGACCAAACATCTTTTCAAGAGCCAATACAGATTCTCTTAAGTTTAAGAACAGGAGATTATAATGGCTCAGCTTTGTTCATTAGATTTATAAAAACAGCAAATACTATAAACTTTTAGTATCAAATGATCTTTATCATTTGATATTGGCAGTATCTGTATAAACACAGTGGATTTAGAAAGGTATATTTAGCTTTATCATAATAGATAAATTACTATTTTAGAAATGTATATTTTCACATCTGTACTACTACCCATTTTCTCTCACATTTATGAAGAATGACATCAGGCATTATTTATGGTTAACATATTCTAGATAGCTTTTCCATGTAAGTTTTTGAAAAGCAATCTTGGACAGGAATTCATTAACTAGATGGGCTAAAAGGTTCTTTTTGAGAGGTAGGTCCTTCCTTAAAAAGTTTCTTATGCTCCATTAAATTTGGGGTGAATATTTTCACTGTTCTTGCTGCTCAGCAAGACAGCCATATAATGCAGGTTATGCAGTGCCTTCATGTCTAAAATTTTTATACTGTACTTTTTAAAGCTTGTATGTTGAGAAAAGGAAAGGGCATTTGTCTAAATACAGATTCTAAATTGTATATATGTCCTATCATCCTAAAAAAGTAAATTTATGCAGCAAAGTTTTGCCACATGTTAAATTTTGAAATTTAATACACCAGATTAAAATATTGTCCATTAACACAGATTTTAAAAGTAAAATACTTATGTTAAACTATATGAAGAAAATCTCATTTCTGTCTAATTGCAATTAAAAGAAAATGTTAAAATACTAAAATGAAAATAAAAGCATTACTTTCAAACAAAGAGCTCAGTGGTTAATATAACAGAAACAAGATATATGCTTGTTAGAAATAAAACATAATAAGAAAAAACACCAAATAAAGTAATTTACTGCTGAGTTTTTTATTCTAACTATCAATTTATAGTAGTATCAAAAAGTTAGGGTTTTTATATCATTTTGGAAATAGATAATCTTCATAGAAGTTTGGGACTCAAACTATTTCTTGTATCTTACAGAACCATACAGTTTATTAAGATAAATTCCTTAAAAATGAAAGGAAACATTTAGGATTCAGACATTAGGAACTAAGAAACTGTAACATAGATATTTTTTTCCCATTTAGCCTATAGTATCTGTTAAGATCCTAGATCTGAATTATAGCTAAAAGGTATTGAACTGTTTTCCTCCTCTTGATCACAGTAAGTAGCTAAGTTCAGAGAAGAGAAATGAGAATAAATCACTTATGGCACTGAAGAGATAAGTAAAATCGGAGGAAACGGGTACCACTTGAGCTGAGAAAACATTCAGAAGTCTGGGAAGTGTGTGTTCATTTGCTCATTCATAACCTTCTATTAATAAAACCTTAGGTTCCTGTGTGGTCTAAGCAACTGGTTTTAAGATTCAGGGTTTCTAGTTTTCCTAAGACAGTGGCAGCAGTTTTCAAATCTTTTACCATAGTCCAAGGTACAAAAATTATTTAAAAAAATAATCATATGCTGTAACACAACTATGTATTTATATTAAAAACTTATATGAAAATGCACCTTTAGTGCACTTTTTACTATGTGCAGTACTCTGGTATTTTCTTTTTTATTATATTTCATTCTTAACAGTGCTGGTTTTGACCCCCTCAACTTTTATGACTTTCTAATGGATTGCAATATATAGTTTTCTATCATTGTAAAACTTACATTCCCTCTGTCTTTTCTCTGATATTTGGATTATGATCTTGTCATAAAAAAGGAGGGAAAAGTGCTAGTACACTTTTATTCTAACTCACCAATCCAATGAAGCTGTAGCCATACACTTTAAATTGCCCAAATAGTCTGAAATTAGTAATAGTCCACAAGATAGCACAAACTCATCTTTGGACATTCCATATAACTACTTAGCAAACATTCTGCATACTTCCTTGAGAAGATGGGTTTTCAACATTACTTTAGAACACTGAGTCATAAGGATTTTAAAATGCATAGGAAAACATGAATCACTTTCCAATGATTTCCCACGTGTTTAAGACCATTAGTGTAGAATTTTTTGTTATATGATAAATTTTAAAGTATAAGCTTCTCATAAGAAATTTAAGAACAGGTCAATGGAACATAGGCCATAGGCTCCTTTAACAAGTAGTAAATAACACTTGTGTGAAACCAAGGGCTTATTTTTAGAAGAGGAGAAATACTGCCCCGAATCAAAATTATAAAGGTGTAAGATGGCATCAAAAAAAAAAAATTTTTTTTTTTTTTTAAGAGACTGAGTCTCACTTTGTTGCCCTCCGTAGAGTGCAGTGGTGGCATCACAGCTCACAGCAACCTCCAACTCCTGAGCTTAGGTGATTCTCTTGCCTCAGCCTCCAGAGTAGCTGGGACTACAGGTGCCAGCCATAATGCCCAGCTATTTTTTTTTGTTGCAGTTTGGCTGGGGCCGGGTTGGAACCTGCCACCCTTAGTATATGGGGCCAGCACCCCACATACTGAGCCACAGGCGCTGCCCAGCATCAAATTTTTTTTTAAATAATTTTTGCCTAATTTCCCTAGATCCTTTATTTATTTTATAATCAAATCTTGACATTCTACCTGCCAAGGTTTTTAAATGTACTTGCAAAAGAATCATTACAATGTTATGAATGAAGCTTCATATTGCAGCGATGAAAGTATACTTTCTTAATTCTAATAGACAAACTTTCTACCTAAGACACGATAGTAGAAACTGCTGTGCCTATCAGATCTGAGAATGAACATGCCTTAAGCTCTGCGCATTCTATCTACTTTTGTAAATTTATCCGTATTTAGTTTAACATTCTGTTTGCTGTGTCTTCATTAAATGGCAGATGATGTGTACCTACTCCTGCAAAAATACTATGTTGGGAACCCCTAGAATGAGAAAATCAAATGGAATAATTGAAAACTAAGATGCAAAGATAAGGCAGAATTTTTAAAATGTTTTCTTAGAGCTACAAAAGTAATGTTACATATTTCCTTCAGTTTTTGGCTCAAAAGTCAACTTGAACTTCACTCTATTATAGGTAGTTTTTCATCAGAAAAAACATTGTGTTAGCTTTTGTAGCAATATTAAATTACTTGAAATTGTAATGTAAAAATACCTGCACTCGTAGATCCAATTCCTGTGGTCAGCACAGATCTTGGCGTGATCTTTGCTGCATATTTGAGAAATTGAGATTTCCCTGTGCCAGGATCCCCAACCAATAAAAGATGAGATTCACCTACAAAAAAAGTAAATATGTAAAGTTTTAAATTTCTATAAGAGGTCTTATAAGTAAGTATAATTAAAGAAAATGGTCCACTTGGGGAATGCCAACACAATTTATTTTATATAGTATTTCTACTGTTACTTTTACATAAGGTCATTCAAGGAAGAATTTAACTACAAAATCCTCATAAAAGTTAACTGTCATAAATGTAACAGTCTTTAAGTGAATACTGAATGTGACATTTAAAATCTAAAGTCTATTATGTGTTGTTTTCAGACATGTAGGCCTGTAACATTTAAACATTTTTTGGCTTTTAAAGTTTCTGGTTTTATTTAATCTATTTTAAAATATCAAACTTCTGTGTTTAAATCTTTCCATACAAGTCATATGTCATACAATTATTGTATTCTATTTTTATGTAAGTACTTCTGTTGGGGACTTTGTAAGTGCTTTATAAATCAAATCACTTATGATTCCAATAGTTAAAATGAAAACTTTTTCATTTTGTGAAAATTTTACTTAGTGAAATATCTATCTTAAAATAATTAAGTAGTTTTATTTTTCAAATGTGACGTGAGCATATGCATAGCCTATAGTATGTATCATCTCAATGACCATTTTCTTCAGTAAAATTCAAATGTTTTCAAAATATGTTGATAGGAATGAATTAAGCTATTTAATTAATAGCTCAATATTTAGCAGAGAGCCTTACAAATAGTAGCTGATCAAAACTTAACACATAAGCTTAATACTATTCTATACCCTACAATGTGCTTTTAAAGTCCCTAAAGTCCTTTTGATCTTTTGGGTTAAAAAGATTAAAAAAGCTTTAGGACAGACTCTGGTCAGGTAATTGTGTTATGAGCAAAAGAGCTTTTTGCCATCTGGACATATCTGTACACTTAAGAGTAATCTTCGCTTGAATGTGTTACCCACAGCAGCACCTCCCAGCAACTGGAACACTGGTACTCAACCAGCAGCCAAAAGGGAAACAGCAGGCAGATGCCTAAGAGTGAAATGTCTGAGAGAAACACTGACAAGTCACAGACGGAAAGACTCTGACTTGGGGATATTCAAATGCACTTTTCTAATCTTTTCCTCTTGAAGCAATTGGGGATCTAATGAAAAACATAATATCTCAGTAACAGAAACATAAAGATGTTATTTTGTGGCCGAGTGAGCACTCTGGGAGGCCAAGGCAGATGGATTGCTTGAACTCAAGAGTTTGAGATCAGCCTGAGCAAGAGGGAGACCCCATCTCTACTAAAAAATAGAAAAACCAGCCAGATGTGATAGCAGGAACCTATAGTCCCAGCTACTCTGAAGGCTGAGGCAAGATGATCACTTGAGCCCAAGAGTTTGAGCTTGCTGTGAGCTATGACACCATAGCACTTAACCCCAAAGCAACTGAGTGAAACTCTATCTCAAAAAAAAAGAAAAATTTTATTTTGTGGCTTCTTTACAGGCTACAGCAAAAGCATACATGAGTTAAAAAACATGGTATCTTTTAGCTTTTCTGAAATTCTGTAAAGTAGCTGCTCATATGTAGATGCTGGACTAAGTATAAGATAATATGAATAACTGTCAGTTTTAAAAGATTACATTTAAAAGATAAAGCTCAGGCTCAATGCCTGTAGCTCAGTGGTTACAGTGCTGGCCACATAAACAAGGACTGGTAGGTTTGAACTCAGCCTGGACCTGCTTAACAACAGTGACAACTGCAACAAAAAATAGCAGGGCGTTGTGGTGGGCACCTGTAGTCCCAGCTACTTGGGAGGCTGAGGCTAGAGAATCGCTTAAGCCCAAGAGTTAGAAGTTGCTGTGAGCTGTGAGGTCATGGCACGCTACCGAGGGCGACATAATGAGACTGTCTCAAAAAAAAAACAAAAACAAATAAAAGATAAAGCTCAACAGTGGTTTTTATTCAGGAAAGAAAAAGTCTCGCTTCTTTCCCTGTGTTACTGTTCCTCAAAATTTTTAAATGGGTACTAACCTCTGACCCGTGTTCCTGTGGCATCAGTCCTTTGAATCCCACCAGCCAGCACCATGGCCACAGCAAGCTTCACTAGATACATCCCAAATATTTGAGGACACAAGCTGGCCAATATTTCATTCCTTCCTAGGAAAGGCAAAAAGATCAGAAGTCACCAATAATTTTCAAGAAACCCTAAATGCAATTTCCCTTCCCACTCTTGACTATCCTATAAACGTACTCCTGCTGTTTAAAATTATCAGAAGGCAGATTCCAAATGACTAAATGGAGTAAATAACTTTTTGCCTCTAAAAAGTCCTTTTCTTAATGCTGTGTGATAGAAAGTCTGCATTTTATTCCAGGGTGCTACTTAACTTTCTATAAATGTATCATACTTTAGAAGAGATACCGCAAAGGAACTCTTTTCTCCCTCGTCTATTATCAGGCCAACATGTCTTCCCTTAATTCCAGTTGTACTTTCTATGTGGTAATTTTATTCACCAGTAAAATTATTCCTGGGCCTAAATAAAAGGAAGGTGTTCAATCTCAGAAACAAGGGAGTCAGATCATAGGAGCCAAAAATCTTTAAATACAGAGGTAGTGGAACCTCATAGAGCTTTTCCCAAAGTGTAAGACAAGGAAAAGAGGTAAAATCAATCCATCTTGCAAGTCAGTTTGGCATTTGCTCCAAGAAGTTTGGTAAAATTATTTCATATGGAATAGTTACAGGATATCAGGGTTTTAAGATCATTGCAAAGTCCAATCCTAGGGGTGTAAGCTAGAGGTCTTTAATTCTTCTGCTCATGTTTTCTGTTTTCAGAAATATCAAAGCACTAAGTGAAAATCTGCGTATCTCATCCACGCATAAAGTAAGTATTTGATTCAGTCACTGGCCTAATGAATGTACAAAATTCTAACAGGCCATTCCTGAACATTTCTATAATTTATGGCCCTATACACAAAGGCTACTTTTTGTAAGGAATCAAAATTGACTCAGTGGCAACTAAGCTATGGTGACGTGACCTGAGATGGCAGAAATGGATGAAAGTCTTTTAGTAAAAAATGAACCAGAAAGAAGATTCAGTAAATCCAGGAAGTTCATTAATTGCCAGAAGGAATCTCTCCCTTTCCTGAGGTATAAAGTCCACAGAAAAAAGGTGAGGCGTCTGAGTAGATAAAAAGACCTCATAGCAGTTAGGTAAATTATGACCAGAATCTAGAAATTACACAGATAAGAAAAAAAAAACAACAGCCACAACAAGAAGGCTAAACAGTAAAGAAAACGAGCAGGGAATCACTTTGGCCAAAACTGTTAAAACAGCCAGGTTTGCTACGTAAAAGAGGATCCAGTGACTAATGAGAAGAGCATCCCAGTGGTAAACAGTAACTAATGTGGCTGTGGGGTCACGTCTAGATTCAAACCCCAGTACTATTATTTACTAGCTGTCTGACCTTGGACAGTTTCTTAAGCTCTCTGCTTCTATTTCCTCACCTATAAAATGGAGATAATATCAACCTAAAATTGTTGAAGATCAAAGGAATTAGTGTATTAGCACAAAGAAACAAAGAGTAGCTGGCACTAGTGGGAACTATTTTACTGTTATCTCTTTTATTACCTGTATTAATAATACAGGTACTGTACTTACTTCTGATCTCAAGATTTCACAAAATCTAAGTTAACACAAAAGAAACTATGAAAGGAGGACTGGGATACCAGAGGAAACAAAAGAGAAAGGCCATTGTCCAAAACTTTTTGTCTCAGCTGAAAAACCTGATTCCTTGGATCAGGGCAGTAGAAGCTCCCATGGCTGTATTGTAGAAGAGAATGCATCAGAGTCTGTATTAACTCCGTCTCTACCTCCCTCCCAGATTTCTGATTCTAGACGCTGTCAATAATGTGGCAACTGCCTACTTATCACCCCTTATAGCACAGCCCTCAGTTATGCCAATGAAGTGAAACTCAGATCTAAGATAACTGAGTCACCCTACGGTGGATTCAGATGGCACAGCAGACTCCAACCCACACGTTTGGATTTCTATCTAGCATCTAAGCACCAGGATCAGAATAAAGTCTCTAGACTCATCTAGTAAATACCCACAGATCAAAGTCTTCATGAAGCAGGTCAACCTCCAAGAGCAGAGGAAGCAATCTCCAGGTTAGACCGGCAGAATGAAGACACCCTGTTGGATACAGCTTCCCACCTTCCCCTCCTTCCTGCCAACACACATGAAATGGAGAAACAGTACACTGGTGCTGGTCAACAGGAAACCCAGAGGGGAAAGGCCATTCATACCAAAAAGAAAAATGTTGCCTCATTTTCTCGCTATCTTCCTACTTAGATTTCTCACAACGTTGTTATATTTACTTCTTTCTTTTATCCAATAAATGAGTCATACAACTGTCTAACAGACAAAAGAGACTCTAATCTCCAGCACAAGCAGTGATGCTCTGGCTAGAGCACTGGGTGGTGGCCTTCCTTCACTGTGGAGTTGAGGTGGGCACTGGAACCAATACAGAGAAACAACGGAAGGAAGAGTTAACAGATTTTTTTTTTTTTTTTGAGACAGAGCCTCAAGCTGTCCCCCTGGGTAGAGTGCTGTGGCATTATAGCTCACAGCAACCTCCAACTCCTGGGCTCAAGCGAGTCTCCTGCCTCTGCCTCCCAAGTAGCTGGGACCACAGGCACCCGCCACAACGCCCGGCCATTTTTTGGTTGCAGCTGTCATTGTTTGGCGGGTCCGGGCTGGGGATTCGAACCCGCCACCTTAGGTGTACGTGGCTGGCGCCTTAGCTGGTTGAGCTATAGGCGCCGAGCCGAGTTAACAGATTTTTATATAAGGACCTAAGAAGTCATTTCCAGTCCAAGAACTGATTTAAAAATATATGATTCTTAAAGTTCTTGCTTAATAAAGCCATAAAGTAGGGAACTTTTCCTTCTTTCTATACATAGATCAAATAAAACTTGAGGATCAACTACATATGTGCTATACACATAAACAAAAAAACTCCACAAAATATAAGCCAACTGCCCATAGTTAGGCAAATGGAAGTCTTGAAATGATATCTGTTTAGTATGTGATTTAAGAATAAAGTACTCAATATATATGAGATTTGAGGTAAAGTTTGTTAGAAATAGTCTATTAGTGGCTTCAGTTTATTCTTCTAAGAAGATGCCTCCAAGGAAAAATGAAAACCAACCTTTAAAGACTTAATTGGTCTTTTATACACTTGGAACTTTTTAATAAAAAACACACTACAACCCCAAAGCCTGTGATGTTTTATTCCATGTATTAATAATTACACTAAGGTGTCACAGTCTAAATTTTTCCTATGGTGACAAAGCTTACTCTTTTTGTAGTCTATCCTTCATCATCTTTTTCGTATTTTAAAATCTTCAGCCAAAATGGGATTATTTAAAATAAATCAGAAGAGAAATAACAATTCTATTATCATAAAAATTGTATATTTAAATACAACTTTAATATTTGTAATAGGGTAAGTTTTTTCTTTTTAAAGAACTGTATTTTTAATTGATAAAGAAGGTAAGGAACCCATGGGCAGCGCCTGTGGCTCAAAAGAGTAGGGCGCCAGCCCTATATACCGGAGGTGGTGGATTCAAACCCGGCCCCGGCCAAAAACTGCAAAAAGAAAAAAAAGAAGATAAGGAACTCAAAACTATTTTCATAGTATATGAACTGTTTAAAATAACAGAATGGAAAAAAAACTCCAGGAATCTCTCTAAAGAGATTTCTAAATAGAAAAGACAATGCCGTAACTGTCTCCAGAGGGAGACTACAACTAGAGGCGCTGACTGAGGCTACCCCGGGAACTCAGCTGTTGAGTTATGCAGCTTGTAAGGCTATCCCCAAAGCACAGACATCGTATTTAACTACTAAATGTTAACACCATTAATAATTATCAGCTTTATGCCCTAATCACAAACCTGCAAAGGGATCACTCTTATAGCACTCCCAAAAATCTTCAAATTCCTTTCGGACCTCCTCATCCATGGTGATCCCTGAGGACTGCTCATTATTTACTTGGACGTAATTGGCTTTCAAGACTATCTCCACTTCACAGCGTACATCTTGCTGAAAGGGCTTCCACCGTTGCATTACAACCCCGTAAATAGTGAGGTCATCACCTAGGAAAAAGCACCAAGTGAGTCCAGCAGTAGCATCCTACATGCAGGGAACCATGCTTGGTTCTCCATGCTCATCCAGAAAATAATCTGGATGCAGAATAACACCCCAGATTCCCAATTTTGTTTTTCTCCACAAACACTTGTGTCTGCACAGTGAAAAGTTAAAGTCAGCAATTTTATTTTCATAATTTACTACATGATAATGATACCAAATTATTATCCTTCACTGGGAAAATAGTTTACTGGATCATTTATTCATGACAGTTGCACTGTGTGAAATGTTCATCCTCTCAGAGTCTCTAACCATTTAATTCTCATTTAAGGAAGAGAGATGGGAATTGCAGCTAGAAGATTAAACTATCATCAATTTGGACTCAGCAAAGGAGACGGCCTTGTGATGACTGGCACATAGTTTTAGTTTCCTACCTGTTCATTTTTTATTTAACCACATTTGTTAACATTTTGATCACTGCCCTCTTTTTTCTTTTTCTAATGATACCAAAGAAACAACAAACTGAGAAATTAGTGAAGACTAACTCTATGCAAAGCTCCTTCCCATAAACTATGAAGGCACTAGATACAACCCTGCTTGTTCCTTTGTGGTGGTTCCTTCCTACTGGAGGAAACTTTCTCATTCCTGGTAGGCAGAATGCTAAACTTTTATAGATTTTCCTACGAGGCCCTGGTAGGTCACAGGCACATCTGCCAAACACTGCCATCTGTGCTTATTATTCCACACGATACAATGCACCAGTTAACAAGTGTATATGAATGTTTGGCACTCAATATTTTGATAATAGAGGAAAGGGATCCAAAAACAAAAATGAAAAATAAAATTATAACCCTAGTCTCTCAAAATTTCAATCTTGTGGAACACAGGATCTTGGACATACCCCAAACCCGATCCTGGTATTTACATTCTGCATAACAAACAATGTCTCAAAATTAAGGGGCAAGTCTTCATTTCCAAGCCTTTATGCCAAATATATATTATTTGTTGATGAAAAATGCCTTTCACTCTTTACATTTCAATGTGTAATATGTAATCTACAGAGCTTTTGATTTCCTGAAGAAAGTATTCTGTAAATGCAGAATGCATGGAACTGGTGATGCCAATTCACAGGACAGGCACGTTTCCAGTTAAAGGCAACCTTACACTGAATGGTAACATTAAATCAGGGCTTTAATCAGATCTTTCAGATCTTTCCTAGGCCACTCCTTGGATGATTTTTCAAACCCTAGAAGGGATAATGATCATTCACTACATCATGTGCCCCCAAACTTGTAGATAACAACAATTAGGGCAAATTCACATGAACATGTGGAACAGTCCTCTATCAGGACCATGTTAGGTCGTTTCTGTACTAGTTAAATGAGGAACTTAACTTTAGATGTATCACCCAGAAGTAACAATCTAATGTCAATACACAGTGATTACACAGGAAATACAGAGTGCTGAAGTGTGGCTAAGAGGACTGACTCTCATCAGATTTGAGTGTAAATCCAGATTCAAAGCTCATTGGCTATGTGACCTTGGGAAAATTACCTAACTTTCCTGAATCTGTTTCCTGACATACAAAATGAGAATAATTATATCTAGATCATAGTACAATATGATCATATTACAACAGACATAAGGGTTTTTAAAGATATTAGTTGGTCTACAAATGTAAAGTAGGTTTAGTATAATAATATTTATTGAGCACTTACTAGAACATAGAACTAGAACATAGTAAGTGCTCAATAAATATTAGTTATTATACTAAACCTACTTTACATTTGTAGACAACTAATATCTTTAAAAATCCTTCAATGTATTCATGTTTTCATTTACTTGAATATTTACTGAATGGCAGATTCATATAATGATCAGAACTGTGAGGAACTATACACATATGACAGTCCAAGGCAATAGATATTCACTTTAAACTTTTGTATTTCCCAACAGCAAATATGTATATTATAAACAATGTTATTTTCCAGGACCTGAAATTCCCACTTTTACACAATCCAACCCTGCTGTGTCCCTGTATCTTCTGCAGCACATTCACTACTATCGCCTCCTCAGTCAGACCCTGCTCTCATTTCCTGCTGCACTGACATAGACCAGCATAAAGCCCTAACTTTACCACCCTGCACATACTGAACTGGGGTTCCTAACTAGAATGCAAGTTCCTAAAGGGCAAGGGCTATACTATTTATCTCTTGTTTCCTACAGAAGTTTGTAGCTAAGGATAAAGGAAAACACAGCTGTTCCCAGACTGCTTTCATCCATCCTTCATTTGAAAGAAATATATCCAACATCAAATGATATCAAATATCATTTGAAAGAAAAATAACTTCAGACTTATTTTTTGTACAGAATGAATTCAGTTTAGATGAACAGTACAAACATCTTATTCTCTATCAAAGGATATTTTCATGTTCATTCTTTGCTCATATAAGACTGCTTTACTGACGGAGATATTTAAGATTTACATTAAAATCTAGAGTCCTACATGAACAAGGTGTTTTGAAGTATCTTTGTGTCATTTAGCAGACAACCCATAATCAAACCTATTATCTCCTTCATGTACTATTTAGACAACTATATGAAAAAAAAAGGAGGTCAGATGCAACCTCCAAGAGGGCCCTCCCAGAACTGGAACATGCTGGCACATTGCTCTCTGACTTCCAGCCTCCAAAAGTGAAAAATAAATGTTTGTGTTTAAGGCATCTAGTCTATAGTAATTTGTTATATTCTGTAGCCCCAAATGACTAAGACATTACTCTTCCACAAATGCTCTTAAGTTCAAATTCTTCCCAGTCTCCTCAATGAGGAGAAGAAGAGCGAGTGAGATGAATTGAGAGTTTAGGACTAATCTAGTGGACTCAAAGACCAAAGCATATAACTCAGAACAACAGAGCCAGATTTCTGGAGCTCTCAGATTTCCATAACATCTCTGAGGCTCAGAAAGTTTTTAATTTGCCTGGAACAATGCAGAGCATCCATATCAACTCCCATCATAAGGCCTAAATCCCTAAAGAGGAGCTGTATATCCTCTGCTTGACTGCCTACAAAAAAAGAACCCATCATCATCCAAGGTCCATGATGGACACCTGATTAATGAGTCAAAATCTACCTCTCTATACCTTCTCGCACTAAAATCCAATAGTAATTCTGTATTAGAATTCCATTTCTATGTGACAATCGTTGAATCATTGAGGGTTGGCTGTCATGTCCTTCCTGAGGCTTCTCCATGCTAAACACCCACAATTCTTCATTGAGCATGCTTCCCAGTTCCCTCCCAATTCAAGTGATTGGCTATCAGAAACACTGAGGACCCTCCGAGGACAGCAGACCAAAATCACTGTGACTCTTCTCCTTGAGTCAACAGCACAGAGCAGAGAATAATGACCACTTCCTTTCTCCGAGGCACCAGTAAGACATGTAGTGGCATTTGAAAGTGGCACATCCTCTGATTCATTTTTTACACCTGTCTATTAAATTCCCCCAATTTTTTAAGTTGCTATGATTGCACTATGGTGCACTGAAGAGATCCTGGATTAGAATCATGTTCCAGTTCTGTTACTCAACTCTCTAAGTGACTGTGGGCAAGTCAGGTTCTTCATCTACAAAACAAGCAGCTGGACCAGCTATTTGTGGCATAGCTCCAGCCAAGCTCTCTTTCCTGCTATCACCTCCCATCTCTACTCCACTCTATTTTCAAAGTGAGCAATTAAGCCTACATACTTCTTGCCAGTGATCTTGGGAAAGTAAAAAATGGCTTTTCCTAATTAATACTTTAGGACCTCACACTCATTCTTACCAGATTTGCAACTGTCCACTAAGTCATCTTCCAGGACAACCTTCATAGATCGTGGAATACTTCCAACAGACAGCCTTTGAACCTAGCATGGAAAGAAAACAGATTCTGAGTATGCTTATACATATACTAAGCATTGGAGGCCTAGCAGTACTTGAGGTTATTATTTCTACTTCTGTGTATTATCATACAATTTAGTTATGATGGGGATTTACAGATTTTCTTGAAAACTGTGCCTACTGTATTAGAATTTACTAAAACTAAACTAAAAGCAGCAACATGGAAAATACATACTACCAAATATAATTTACCCTGTAGATGGTCAAAGTAAGCATACACTCCAACTACTAAACATAATAACAAAGTTAACTTACCTAGAAAAAATAGGTTTCTTTCCTGATCTCTAACCAAAAGACCTGAGACAAATCCCCAGTCCCTATGATTATTCCTTAGTAACAAAAGCCTGGTCTTATTCTATGTGGACAAGTGCCTAATAAAAAGACTGTATCTCCTGGCTCCTTTGAATGTAGGTGTGTTTACATGATTAAGTTATGGCCAAATGAGATATAAGGAAACATGTTGTAGACTTCCAGGGAGACTGCTTACGTGGTGACCTGGTTAGGTGGTGAGTACTTTTAACCATCACTCCTTTTTTTCTGTCCCCTAGCTATAGCACAAATTGGTGAAATTGTAGCCACCATCCCAGACCACAGACAACCTTAAGAAGAGAAACCATTAAGAATGGTGGAATAGAAAGATAGGAAGACTCTGAATCCTTGAAACTGAACTAGCCTGGGACTGCCTGCCTCCTACTTAAGACAAGAGGAAAAAAAAAACTTTTCTGTTTAAGCTGCAAGCAAATGAAAACCAGGCTCACTCTTACTTGTTATGTAAACCTCATTTGGCACAGCAAAGAAAATTGAGTCAAAACCCCAAATCCTGTTCCCGCCAATGTTTAACAACCATTTAAACATTAATTAATTTCCTACCCCTTAGTTAAGAACATTAACTCCTATTTCTCAGTTAAGAACAACTAGGTTGAACTTCTTAAATATTCATTTAATTTAAACATAATTGTTAAGTAATTATACAACTCTCTTGTCAATGCTCTATCTAAAACGATGACTGGTTTGTGGTTTCTGAAGACTACATTTGGACATACGTGGAATAGTTGCAAGCTTGATCTTTTACAAAGTAATGACACAAGTCTGCTTGTATCCATTTCAAGTTTCCTAATCCTAGCAATCTGCCGACAGCTGAAAAAAATACTTTTTTAAATTTGTTATTTTCATTTATGTGATCATATACCTGTTCTTGAATTTTAATTTCCTGGTAATCTCTACACCTGGTTGGAGATGAAGACAAGCTTGAGAGGCAGGTGAATTTAGAGGAATCACAGCTCTCCAGGCTGGGGCATGAGGATGGTCGGCAGAAGGTGTAATACTGCTCAAAGTCAGCCTTGACCACAAATATGTGCTTGCATTTGTTGCACATGTAATCCCGCTCAAACTCCAAGACCTTCACCAGACTTGTGCGAATCACTGTCCCAGTGACAGATAAAAAGTGTCCCACATCCTTGGTTTTAGGTATGTGCTCCCTCACCAGCTCAGGACAGACAGGCAAACCTGATGGAGAAATAAACAAACAAAAATAGCATCAAATAATACCTTGGGATTTGCCACTATAAAATATATTCTTCTCATATTTGCTGAGAGAGAAATTATAATCTCAGAGAAAAAAATCTTTTGTGTTTTACTTAAGGAAAAAATCAGATTAACTCAAATAAATAGAAAATAATTACTTCAAACAACAATTACCAATAATTGTTTTTGTGTTTTTTTCTTTGAGACAGAGTCTTACTCTGACACCCTGAGTAGAGTGCCATGACATCATCATAGCTCACAACAACCTCAAACTCTTAGGCTCAAGTGATCCTCCTGCCTCAGCCTCCTGAGTAGCTGGGACTACAGGTGCCCACCATGACACCCAGCTAGTTTTCCTATTTTTACTTGAGAGACACCCAGCTAGTTTTCCTATTTTTACTTGAGAGGTCTCCCTCTTGCTCAGGCTGGTCTCAAACTCATGAGCTCAAGGGATCCATCCACCTCGGCCTCCCAGAGTGCTAAGATTACAGGTGTGAGCGACCATGCCCAGCCCCAATGGCTTCTTTATAAAAGCACATAGCTAGAAACTGTAATAACCAGGATTTTAAAAAGAACTGATTCTCACAAGAGGACTATGTCAGTAGTATTTGAATACTGTATGTAATTGTAACCACATTTAACAATGAATATATGGCTGCCTGCCACACATAAAATCAATTGATGACTCTTTGAGTAAACTGTAAAGCAAATTGATGAAGAAATGGTAGTACGACATCTAAAGAGTCCCATGGTGCTGAAAATTTATTGCTTTTTTAGTAATTAGATTCAGTATTTATTAACACATAAATCTTACTGTTTTTAAGAATTGACTTACCTAAAGGTTTACCCATAGCATCATTTTATCCTTTGGAAACCTCATGTTTTTCAATGTTAATTAAAAAAGACAATAGAAAAGATACAAAACACTAAAGAAAATCCTTATGCAAAATGGCCTCTTTCTCACCTTTGGCTACAATGCACCACTAGAGTTCAATGATGCTGGCTGTGATGGTCAAAGGCAATCTCCTAACAGATTTATCAGGATAGCATATTCTGTGCTGCTTAATGTCACATGGCCCAATGTCTTATCCTCAGAACTTAGTAGCTCAAAAACCAGATAAGAATGCATATTGAAGGCCCATCTACCAGATTTTCCAGCTCATGAGAAATAACCATAATAGGTATGATTATACCTTAAGTTCATGATGGTTAAGTTTTTCCCTGCTGCAATGTCTACTCTGAAAGCCTAATAATAACAATAACGATAATCAGGAGGCAGTTTAGGAACCACGGGGGGGGGGGGGGGGCAAACTAATTAGAGTAACTGAAATGGTTAAGTGCCAGGCTACTTTAACCTGGTGTTATAGGCTACAAGTTTGCAGAAAGACCTGAATTTTCTCTGCTGGCTGGCACTCTTTCTCCCTACTGTACAGACAAACAAGATGGGCATAGCTAACATCTCTATGACTCCTTTTTCTATGCTTTCAAGGCCAACTTGTCCATATTTTAATGAAAATATTTTTTATTTATACTAATTCAGATTGTACCCCATTTTGCCACGAAGGGAGTCATAATTTTGGTTCATGTCTTAGAACGCTAAGAAACAAAAGGGAACAAAGACGAAATTTCTCTTGCTTACCTGGCCTTAAGTAGAATGTATATTATGGCAACATATTTGAATACTGCTTATAGAGTCTTGATTACCTTTCTTTTGCTTCTAAAGTGAGTATTTTTTTAAAAATTACAATATTCACATACCATAAAATTACCCTATAAAGTATTTGGTAATCAGTATATTCACAATATTGTACAAGCATCACTGCTATCTAATTCCAGAACATTTTCATGTTCAGAATCTCTCTATCCAGGAACAGTCACTCTCCATTTCTCCCTACCCTTAGCTGCTGGCGATCACTAATCTACTTAGGTCTTCAATAATTTACCTATTTAGGACATTTCATATATAGATGCTCCTTGACACTCTCTATCACCTCTGCCACAAATGGCCTCAATCCTCAGTCCAGAAAAAAATGCTGTAATTTTTCTGCACACATGCTACGGCTTCTCACCTCTGTACCTCTACATATACACTTACTTTGTCCGGAAAACTTCACTCTTTACTCAGCCATAAAGACTGTACTCAAGTTTTCTCTTCTATAAGAAAATTCCCCTCAGTCCAGGCTAGCACATTCACGTATGCATACGTGATATGGCTAAGCAAAATGGTCAAACAAATGCACAATGACGTGAATGACACCTTTTATGTCTGCAGGAATCTTCCACCCAGGAATAGGAAAACGGAATTCCTTGGTTCCAAGGACACCTTTGTCTTGCAAATTATGATCAGGCCTATACATCCTGGGTCATGACATGTCTACACAAAACTGGTTTTATTTCAAGTAGCACAGGAGATGTTCTGGAGGGATACTGTACACTTGGGCAGGGCAAGTTGGAAGTGGGGGGAGGCAGGGCTCCACTCTAAGGGTCCCTCTCATGCTCACGAGCCCACTCTGGGTACCCCCTGAAGTGCAGCCAGCATCAGTGGTTCCCCATGGGTCTCCTCTAGCAAGGGTCCTGTATCTAATCCAATTATAATACCTCTAAGGAACTGTGTAAACAGTTACAATCAATTTTCCTAAGAAAAACAGCCTTTAATTGTCATCTATACTTTTACAATACAGAACAATACATCATTCTTAATGTTCTTAAAAGTCAAAAACTAAAGAGCAGTTTACATCTTACTAAATCATATAAATCATACCTCTCAGGATAATTATTTTTTTAGAATTAAAAAAACTAATCTTAACATGACAGATTAAGTGGTTTATCTTGTGTAGTAAACCAAATACATTATTGTAAGAAAAGGGCAACAGAAGTGAGCACATTTCTGGATCTTCAGATTATTTCCTTTCATTTCATATCACTGTGATTTTAAAATAAATTTATAATATAAAGACAAAGGCAACATAATTTTAAGGAAAACTGATCATATACAATAAAAATCTTAGTACTAAAAAAAGGCTGAGATAGTGTTTTGATAGAAAGATGAATTGTTTTTGCCAGGTATGGTGGCTCATGCCTGTAATCCGAGCACTTTGGGAGGCCAAGGCAGGTGGATTGCTTGAGCTCAGTTCTAGACCAACATGAGCAAGATCAAGATGCATCCTTACTAAAAATAGAAAAACTAGCCAGTGTTATGGTGGGTGCCTGTAGTCCCAAGATGCATCCTTACTAAAAATAGAAAAACTAGCCAGTGTTATGGTGGGTGCCTGTAGTCCCAGCTGCTCGGGAAGCTGAGGCAAAAGGATCACTTAAACCCAAGAATTTGAGGTTGCTGTGAGCTATGACGCCACAGCACTCTATCCAGGGTGACAGAGTAAGACTATGTCTCAAAAAAGAAGGCAGGCAGGCAGGCCAATTTTTTTTTAAATGAATTAATACATTTTAGATTGAGAGAAAGATTAACTTAATCTTTCTTACTATCTATCAGTATATTGTTATTTATTCTTCAACTCTTCCAGTGAAACACAAGGAATAAATCAGGCACTAAACCACCCTTAGTGCTGAACATAAAAACTTTCATTATTCTCTGATCCATTAATTGATGACAAAGAAGAAATTTTTGAGATAGAGATATGCCTGCATCAATTACCTCAGGTTTGTAGTTCTCAGAGTGTTGTTTCCAGACTAGCATCATCAGCCTCACCTGGGAGTTACTGGAAATGCAAATTCTTGGACCCACTCCTGGGACCTCCTCAGTTAGAGACCCAGAGGGTGAGCCCAGGAATCAGTATTTTTACCAATATTCCAAGTGGTTCTGGTGCCCATTAATGTTTGAGAACCACTGCTTTAAATGACAAAATGTTGTTTTTTCCTTCTCACTTACTTTCATGCTAACTGTGCATTTTGAACCCCTTTCATCTAAACCACTGGGAATACCAAGTAAACTTTAGGCTAATAAAAATTCCAGAAGACAAAGACAGGTAGGGGTAAGAATAAAATTTAATGAATATTCTGCAAAAACAAACCAGAAACTGTCTTATGTTTCTAAAGAAACTGAACCACAGAGGCCTAAAATACATGATACAGCTGCAATTTGACTAAAACCAGACTGTTTCTAGTCCCTGTTCTTTCCCACATATTGTTCACTCTTTTTGCAACACCTCCATCTTGGCCTTATCCGCTCTGTTTGAAGCCTCCAGTAATCCCCCCAGGAGCAGTCACTCTGTTCTGTGGGCTAATGTGTCTTCCATGCAGCCCAAGTGAAGCATGCATCACATGACATAAAAGCTCCCGGAAGCTCCTTCACAGTCTTGTTTAATATGCATATATCTGCAGGCATACACATGCCATCTGGCAAATATCTGTTTCCCTCACAGTCTTGACTACCTATAAAAGAGGAGGAACCACATATTCTTTTTGGTTTCTCAGGAGTCTAGCAAATGCCTAAACACATTATGTTGTAGAATGACTGTTAGCATGGTAGTAATGTAAACTGCAACTCACATTTTCAGAGAAGTACTAAAAAAATAGGCTAAATTCACTTCAAACTCACAGGGTCATTAGGCAGAAAAAATTTTATTATTTAGGGTTTTTTTTTTTTTTTGGTAGAGACACAGTCTCATTTTATTGCCCTTGGTAGAATGCCATAGTGTCACAACTCACAGCAACCTCCAACTCCTGGGCTTAGGTGATTCTCTTGCCTCAGCCTCCAGAGTAGCTGAGACTACAGGCTCCCACCACAACGCCCAGTTATTTTTTTTGTTGTTGCAGTTTGGCCGGGGCCGGGTTTGAACTCTGCACCCTCAGTATATGGGGCTGGTGCCCTACCCACTGAGCCACAGGTGCCCCCCCCTATTATTTAGGTTTTTTTTCTTTTCTGGAAACAGAGTCTCACTTTGTCATCCTTAATAAAGGGCCATGGTGTCACAGCTCACAGCAACCTCAAACTCTTGGGCTCAAGAGATCGTCTTACCTTAGCTTTCATTTTTAGCTGAGTTGGGGTCTCACTCTTGCTCAGGCTGGTCTTGAACTACTGAGTTCAAGCAATCCACCCACCTCAGCCTCCCAGAGTGCTAGGATTACAGGCATAAGCCACTGTACCCAGCCGAATTTTATTATTTAAACTATGTATGGAATATTATCTAAAAACAAGGGCAACCTAAAACTATTTCCTAAATATCATTTTGACAACATTAACTAAAATCCCTTTTAACAATCATTTTGCAAACTCATTAAAAATAAATATTTCTTCTTGATTCCAGCAATAGATTATCTAGTGCCCTAGTGCATAATCTTCATAACTTTATTCTAGCAAGTTACTTCTACATGGTAATTTTCATTTAAATCAAATCTCTAGTCCCTTTTGAATATTTTTTATTATATTTGTTTGTTTGTTTATTTATTTTGAGACAAAGTCTTAACTCTGTTGCCCTAGGTAGAGTGCCATAGCATCGCAGCTCACAGAAATCTCAAACTCTTAGCCCTCAGCATTCCTCTTGTCTCAGCCTCACAAATAGCTGAGACTATAGGCATGCACTACCATATCCAACTAGTTTTTCTATTTTTAGTAGAGGTTGGGTCTCACTCTTATTCAGGCTGCTAAGCTCAAGGACTCAACCCACCCTTGCCTCCCAGAGTTCTAGGATTACAGGCATGAGCCACTACACCTGGCCCCTTTTTAAAATCTTAACTTGCCTCCAAGTGGTTCTACTGCAATAGCTCCTCACCTTTTTGGAATCATAGAAAGCATTCTTATTGATTATTAATCTCCACTCCTCTCAAATGTACTATAAGGTAAATATTTTTATGCAAAAAGATCTGTATCTTTCTAACTTAATCAGATTGTCTTAAATATTCTGGGGTCTGCTTTGTAAACTCGCCAAAACCTTTATTCATAGAAATAAAATGAAGCTGTCCCAGTCTTCATTTGTTTATATAATAATCACACATTTAAATTTTTTTTAATTGGGGATTAACAGGGACTGTAGAGGTAGTTTGCATGTGAAAAAACTGAGGCTTAGTAAGATAAAGAAACTTGTCAAGTTTTCCAGCCTAGAAATGTTGCTCTAACCAGGTAATTCTTTTCTTTCCACCATCCCACACTATGTCTTCCAAGAAATGGTTTCCATGCAATGAATTAATGAAAAATTGTTACACTGCAGTGTCAAGAGTTCTACAAAATTCTCAATTCGACTCTATCTTCTCTGTTAAAAATAAAACACATAAAACTTCACTTTTAAAACAAAAAGTGAGGGCTAAGAAGTCTTGAAGACAGGAATTGGTCTTGAAGAAGGACACAGTTCTACCAGCACAAACTGCTGCTCTACCCCCCTGCAGTTTTTTAAAAATTAAGATGCTTAATCTGTCATGTAGTCGGTGGAAATATGTTGAGTGGCTGGAAGGTAGACAGCACAATGCTTATCTTGAACAAAAATAATTTCCTAAAATAAGGGAATAATCTACCATTTTTCTAGTCTTTTGTATTACCAGTTCTTTTATTATTAGTAGTTACAAAAGCCTAAAAAGCTGTTTTGGATTATGATTTTATACACATATAGAAACATATAGATACACAAGTATTCTGCTGTCTCTACACATTCTTCCTCATCTCAGTTGGCACAGCTAATATACCAAACCTGGAGAACGCATTACTCTGCTCTCAAAGAAGTGACCATCAAAGACGCAACAGATATAGTATATTCTGAGTATAAATATCAATTATTTCTTAGTATTCTGAATCCAACTTGTGTTATTTTCTCAAAATCTTCCTTGAAAATAAAATAGCAGTCAAACTCAGAAGTGATTTACCTGATATCCGGGCATGAAGATTCTGCTTCATGGAAACACACTCAGGCTGAGACAGGGACTGGAGAATTGTCAAGGCCGACCTCCGCAGTGCACTATCAAAAACACTGAGTACTTCATTGGGGAACACAGTGAAGTATTCCCCAATTTCCATGTTGGTCTCAAAAAGGGTCATGGCATTAACCACGACTGCGTAATGAGCATCTTCATCTCTTTCCTTCAAGATTAGAAGAATATCATTCTTATGGTATTCTGAAACGTAGGACTCAAACACTTGACCAACCAATGCAACTTGATCACTATTCATCTTGAATTTAGGTTACTAAAGAAAAAGAAAGGAGTCAATTATACCTTTGATATTAAAGATTTACGTACAATTTAACACAAATGACTGATTATAAATCATGCTGGCTTTTTATCACACTATTAATCTCTGAATTCAAATCTTAAGTAGATATGAATTATCTGTTATCATCACATAGTACATGTACTCTAAAAATGAGTGAAGTTAAATCTAAGAATTATGTTGGTACTGGCTACTGAAATCCAAAACAGTTCAAAGCATCTCTCGCGTCTTTTCCCAAACATATTTTTTCCCAAAACTTCCTCCTCATTAACCCTATGTTAATATATAGTCATGCACTGAATAAAGTTTCAGTCAATAAAGCATATATTAATACAATGGTGTTCCTACAAAATTATAATACTGTATTCTTGCTGCACCTTTTCTATGTTTAGATACATTTAGATACACAAATATTACCAATATTACATTTGCCTACAGTATTCAGTACACTAACATGCTATATAGGTTTGTAGCCTAGAAGCCACAGGCTGCACCATATAGCCTAGATGTGTAGTAGGCTATACTACTTAGGTTTGTGTAAGTACACTCTTTGATGTTCATACAACAATGAAATTCCCTACTGACGCATTTCTCAGAGTATATCCCATTGTTAATTGATGCATAGTGGCATTATACTTTACATTAACGTACGTAATCGCCCCCTTCCTTTGACCACCTTTCATACACACCTATTTGCTCTCAAATACAGAATCTTAAACATCAGCCTTCTAGCTGAAGAGTTCCTTTGAAGAGCGCTGGGTCTAGGTTTTGTTCATTTAAAAAGCATATTATTCTTTATTTCTCTCCTGATCTTTAGTTATACTCATTTGTATGTTGCTATATAAACAGAACACTATACTAATCAAATCCATAGCTAGTTTTAACTTGAATAATTAACAGACTGGCCTTTAAAAATTCATATTTGAAGGTGAATACTCTCTCCTCTTGCCCTAGAAAAACTACTGGCGTCAGCAAAAACAGCTGTCAAGAATGTAAGGAAAACAAACAGGGGAAAGGAAAGGAACATTGAGTCTTTGAATAATAAATAATTAGGATGTTAATACAACATATACCATTATTTTGTTTATTTCAATCCCCTAGCAATTTTTTTTTTCAACAAAATGTCTATCTACAGATTAAAAGGGCCTAGCCCCATCTATTTTCATGCATACCATCAGATAACAAATTACTTATATATAAACCCAATTCAACGTCCATTTCCCAATACCTGCCACATACAAGGCAGTATGCTAGCAAATGAAAAGCTTAGTAAAAGGTGCTCTATATCCTAAGAGGTCCCAGGGACAAATCAAATGAAGCAGTGCTCCCCAATGGTAAACATGCAATATATGAATAACAGCAAAAGAAGAGGATTAAACTTAAATGAGATGACAATCCCAGTGGTGGCACTGGAAAGTTTACAAATAACCTGTCCAGACAAGAAACTCTTATTTGGCTTGGGAGGAGAGCATTAGAGAGCAGGTGTACTTTACTATGCCTTATCTCACTTATCCATCATTTAAACAATGGCTCTAGGCTCAACAAATAAGAATATTAAAGACTGTTATAAAGCTCACAGTTTAGCTTCCCAAAAAATGTGTTATACATGCTATATTTATCAGCAGTATTTTTCTTTCTCTGAGAACCTAATATTCTGGAAGGTGGCAAGAATATAAGGTGGGTATACCACCATACAACTCTGACAACTTTCACTCTATGAATTCTGACAACTACAGGATGCCAGTGTGCGATTAAGAGATAAGTAAGTGTACATACAAGAGAATGAGTGAAAATAAATTTATGGCTATTACTCTGACAAGTAATTTGTCTTGGCTAGGTAATATAAATTCAGCCAAGTGTAAAGAGAAAAAGCACCTGGGAAGGAACTAACCTTACAGTATTCCCATGATGTGGCCTCCGCCAAAAAATAATAATCTGGACTCCCAAGAGTGGCTACAAGAGAATCTCTAAGATTCTATAAAAGCCTATTAAATTTAGAGCCACAAATTTAGCTGTTTGAAACACAGCTCCACATAAGGGCAAGAAATGGGTACCCGCAGAATCCAAGATTCAAATTAAGGTCAGATTAAATTTTGCCAGGTTGTATCAGCAATTTATAGGGTTTTATGGATTACCTTTTTTTGAAAATGGCATTCAAAAACTGACTAATCAGTTGTTTAAGCAGTTAGCTAACCTCGTAAACATTCCTATCCAGATACGGACTGGAGACACTTCTTGTTTTAAAGGTCATCCCACAACTTTCTTTTTCTTACTGCGTATTTGGGATCAAAATAAAAAAAAATCATTTTGCGTTACTTTGTCCTCTTGACCAAACTGAAGCTCCCAAAAGACCGCAAGGTGCCCACCGATACTGACACCTTCCAGCCGGCTGCAGGGAAGCGCGGCAGCCCCGCCCCTGTAACCACGCCCTCTGCCGAGGCCGGCTCCGCCCCCCTCGCGGGAGCGCGCCATCTGCGCGCCTCCTCCCCGGCCGCTCGGCTGCTGCTCCCGCGCAAAGCAACCGTGGGGTCGGCTAATTTTCGCAGGACGCTTTCCAAACTTTATAATTCAGCGGGTCTCTGCAATTAGCCCCTGCTCCACGACACGTCGGCAGGTCTTGCACACTTCTCAGGTTCTGCTCCAGGCAGCCCCCTCGCTGGCCAGTCCCAGAGTGGAATAGTTTTGAACTAACCAGACGTGGGCGAGACTTGGGGCGAACTGCAGGGAAACAAGGAACCGTGAAACGAGGCGGCAGCTGTTACTTACTGGCTGACAAGCCGTCTCAAAAGTAGTCGAGGACGCGCTGCTCCAGAGGCCCAGGGACACAGAGAGGTCTGGCCGGGCGGCAGGGTCCTCGCAGCTGACCCACGGCGCCAGGAGGCCGATGGGGGCGGGGCGTGCACGTGCACGTGCTGCTCGAGGCGCCGCCGGCCGCGGGGACGCGCAGTCCCCGTTGGGCAGGTCTACAGCCGTGGGCTCGGCTCGGCCGGCGCTCTTGGCGGTCGCCGGGCCGCGCACCGCCTCAACTTCCCGGCGCCGGCTGCTCTTCCGGGTGGAGACGTGAGCGGGCGCGCGCCCCGCGGAGCCTCTGGGACTGCGGGGCGGGGCGGGGCGGGGCGGGGCGGGACGGGTCCCTGGCGTAGCTGAGGGAAGGGAAGGGGCGGGGCTGGGACCGAGAGGTGGACTGGAGTGACTTAACGCTGTGTGTTTGGATCCTTTTTGTTCTAAGGCTAAACGATGTACATAACCCAAGGTCATAAAGATTCTTGCATCTGTTTTCTGATAAACGTTTTAGAATTTTGTATTTAGGTCTGTGATCCAATTAGAGCTGATTTCTTAGGTGGTGTAAGATAGGAGACTTAAGTCACTTTTTTTATATGAATGTCTAAGATCATTTGTTCGAAAAGTTTCTTCTCTTCAAAGAGCCTTTGCACCTGTGTCAGAAATCAGTTGTCATTAAAAAATTAGTTGTAGGTCTATTCTTAGACTTTGTATTCTGTTCCAGTGATCTATTTGTCTTTACAAAAATACCACACTGTCGTTGATTCCTATAGATTAATAATGAGCCTTGAAATCCGATAGTGTTTGGCCTCTAATTTTGCTTTTTTAAAAGTTTTTTTGGCTCTTTTAAGTCCCCTATGTTCTTATGAATTCTAAAATCAGCTTGCCACTTTCTGTTTTAAAAGCTGGGATTATGATGGGAGTTATGTTGAAGCTACTAGATCTATAGGAGAATAACTTACACGTTGATAATACTGAGTTATGACCTTTGAATAAAGTAAGCCTTTGCATTTATTTAGGTGTTATTTCTCTCAACAAGTGTTTTGATCTTTTCTCATATCTATTCCTAAATCATATTTATCCACAAATCTAGGGTTTGGGGGTAGGGTGGTATACTTTTTGATGTTATATAATGGCATTTTTAGATTTCAGTTTCCAGTTGTTCTTTGATAATTTGTAGAAATACAGTTGATTCTTTAACATAGATCTTGAATCTGCAATCTTGTAAAAACCACTTTTAAGTTCTGGTAGCTTTTCTGTAGATTCCACCAGGTTTTCTGCATAGCAAGATTTGTTGTTTGTAAATAAAAAAAAATTGACTTCTGTTCCCTTCTGGATGACTTTTCCTTTTGCCTTTTGTCCTGGCTAGATGCTCCAGTGCATTGTTGAGTAAAAGTGAGGAGATCAGACATCCTTTCTTTGTTTCTCCAAATTTAGGTTAGTTGCTTGCCCTGTGACCTTAACTTTTTGATGGGTTCAAGAAAAGTCTTTAATTTGGAGCTTGCACAGTTTTTGTCTTATAGGATGAGAGTGACAGTCTTTCCATCTCTCCATGTGTCTGAGCTACCCATTTCTTTAGGTGTCTTTTTTTTTTTTTTTTT